CCGTCAAGTGCCCGGACTCCCGGTTCAAGGAGGTGGAGAACGAGTGCACGGGCGGCGTGACGTCCATCTCGTACGGCGTGGACCCCGTGTTCAAGGCCGGCACGTCGCTGTTCAACCCTGACCTGGACAACACGGACAGCATGCAGACGTACTACAACTGCTCCGAGCTGGCCGTGGCCTCGTACGGGCTGCGGGACCCCTACGCTGCCACGGAGCGGTACGTGAACCAGTACCCCTTCTGCGCGGAGCTGTTCAACATGCGCAACATACCGTACGGCTTCCGGGCGTTCGTGCTGGAGGGCAAGCGCATCGGCTTCCCCGTGTGGTTCGACATCAACCTGTCGGAGGACGAGGCGCAGAGGTGGTACGCGTACCTGGAGGAGGGCCTGTACGTGGACACGGACACGGCACAGGTGGGGTCGCGTGCACAGAGTCAAAGCATTACAAGAATGCACAGTGCTTGGGGCACACCAATTTACTCGAATGTGGATAAATACGTACGAATTCGTATACTGCGAAGTATATGTATTCGTTTTCTACTTGTTAATAACATGTTAATAACTTGTTAATAATATTTTTTGCTTAATGTTGATTCTTGTATATTTATTAATTTTACTATTACATTTACTACCCTTACATTATCAGTGCGTAATTGTTTTTTATTCAATTACTTGTTTGTTATTTGTTTCTATGCATATTAAAAAACGTGAAGCTCCGGGCCTTCGGGTATGGTTACTGTGCCATGCTGTGAATCGCTATCAAACCTTTGGACCATCTTGACGTTGACATCACACTGAGTACTGCGATTCATTTGAAGCAATGATTTTGATTACATCTGACTGCCATCAGTGTCATGATTCTCCCCCAAAATATGCACAAGCTGCCTTATCGACATGGCAGCCGCGCACGACGCGAAACCAAATCAACTCCATTCCGTCGGAACAACTCAACTTCGGTGCAATTTGTAGACATTCATTCATAAGCCCAAATGCTTCGCGCGGCGCAGGTGACGGCAGAGATGGTGACCTACAACTCCGAACTCAAGGTCTTCGGCTACGCCCGAGTGACCTTCACCTTCACCGAGGGCGGCTCCATCGTCGTCACCCACAAGCTGCAGACCTTGAAAGTGGAGCTGTACGTCACGCCGCGGGACTTCGCCCGACTGGCCGTGGAGGTCCTGTGGACCCTCTGCGTCGTGGCGTGGCTGGTGCGAGACCTGTGGGCCATCCTGCGCGCGCGCATCTACACAGGCACCTGCCTCAAGTACCTGGCGTCCTTCTGGGTGTGGCTGGACCTCATCTCCAACGCCCTGATGGCGGTCGCGGTGGGCCTGTGGTGGATCTTCGTGCAGTACTACGCCACGCCCTTCTCCATAGACCTGCGGTACGACGTGTACGACGACCCGAGCCCCGTGGCGAACTTCCTCAAGCTGGAGGGAGACGGCGTCAACCTGGTGGCCGCGCACAAGGACTTCCGGCGCATGCAGCAGCTGGTGGACATGCTGTCGTCCTACTACGCCCTCAACGGCATCAGTATCCTGATCCTGATCGTCCGGCTGCTGAGGCGCATGCACTTCCAGCCGCGCCTGGGCGTGGTCACCCGGTCCTTAGCGCTGGCGGGCCCTGACCTCGTCCACTTCTCCCTCGTCAGCGGCATGGTGTTCATCGGCTACGCAATGATGGCGCACCTCATCTTCGGCAACGCCGTGGCGGCCTTCTCCACCTTCGGCAAGTCCGTGAACACGTGCTTCGAGGTGCTGCTGGGCGACATCAGCGTGAACGAGGACCTCAAGGCCCTGTCCGGCCTGCAGGCCTTGGCGGGCACCCTGTTCTTCTGGTCCTTCGAGCTGCTCGTGTTCATGGTGCTGCTGAACTTCCTGCTGGCCATCATCGTTGACGCATTCTCGGAGGTCAAGGGCAACACGTCCGACATGACCGGCATGCACGTGGAGATCACCCAGATGGTGCGGTTGAAGCTGAAGAACCTGTGGGGGCGGCTGAGCAACAGGAGCCACGTGCCGTACCAGCGGCTGGGGGAGATCCTGAAGCAGTGGGCGGGGGATGACGAGGTCAAGGAGCCCCTCGTGGCCAAGGAGCCGGAGAGGAAGCGCTTGAAGGCACGCCTGCCGTGCAACGACAATTGAAACTGTTTGACGACAAGTCCCTGATAAAAAAACCGATCAGTGCCACTGCGCAAAAGTTGTCTGAAAATTTGGTTTTGGCAATGCCGTAATGCGTTGCGCCGAAATGCCACGTCCTCCTTCTCTACACGCGCAAATTTGATTCCCGTGCATTGTTCGCATCGAGCCTCCAATCCCGTCGGGTGGCCGTCGGCCTCTCTTGTCGTTGCGGCGTCACCCTTTGGCGCTGCAGTCACCCACCACAGAGAAGCAGCAATTTACATCCAGTTTGCCCATCATGAAATTTCTGTTGGTGGATATCGACACATCTTGCACATGTACGACTTGCTCTGAGAAACGGAATACTAACGAGGCAGTTGCAACCCAAATTGCTCCTAAAACAGTGAACAGGTGTTTTGCTTGTCTCTAGAAACAAGCACAATATGCCAACAGAAGAAGGGAATGTCGGCTGATTCCAGCGGTTGAAAATGCGCAGGTCCTAGGGGAGGAAATTGACAGCGAGACCCTGGGAGAGATCTTGGAAGAGTGCATGTCGGACGCCACTGCGGTGCCGCCGAAGCGGGGCTTTTTGGGCCTGCTGCGCCGGAGGAAGCTTCAGGAGCCGCCCAGCAAGGAGGAGGTGCGGCGCGCCGCGGCCTTCGTCGTCGACCGGTTTGGGACTTATCCAGGGGAGGACGAGGAGGAGGAAGGCGAAGAAGGAGAGGCGGGAGAGGGAGAGGAGAACCCGGACGAGGAGACAAGCCGGCTTGAGGAGACCTGCCGTTCGCTGGAGTCGGAGCGGGAGAGGCTGGCGGCGAGCTTGGAGAAGCTGGCCGAGGTGCAGCGAGAGCTGGCGGAGGGCCAGCGCAACCTGATGGCCGGGCAAAAGCAGCTTGCCGCGCAGCAGAAGCGTCTGGTGGCCGTGATGGAGTGACGCGAGGGGGAGGGTGGCGGCCTCTGGGGCAGCGCGCCATCCCCCTGCAGGAGAGGGGTTGCGTTTGAATTCCGGGACTCACATTTATCAAAGATACGTTGCAAAACAAGGCGCTTGCACCTGGGCAGGCGATGACGGGCACGTCAGCAGCCAGTTAATGTCTGCTCGCGCTCAGCCAACAATGTATTCAAGAGTCGGGGGATTGTGTTTGTGCACCAGCGCATGTGTGTGTCCATGCGGGCTTCGGAGCATCGCCTGGCGGCGATGGAAGCAATGGGCTGGATGGCGATCTGCAGGCCAGGATTCGCAGTTGCGGCAGTTGGGCATCTGCCGGGCTGCCAGAACAGTCGTCCTTGGCAGGCAGCAGTCCACAAGCGTCATCTTGCGGGCCGTGGGGCAGGGCTTGGGTCCCAGCTTCGGGTTGGTGCCCAGGCGCGGCAAGGATCTTCGGCGAGCCACAATGCCGCGACGTGTTTGGACACATCCACGAGCTGGGAAGCGGGAGTGAGGAAGTTCAGTCAAAGGGTCCATCGGCTGCAGCGCGGTGGCGTGAGCCCTAACGAGGGGTCTGCCTATATGCCGGCTCAGGAGCTGAGTCCATCGATTTCTTCACAATAGAAAACGCCCTTTCTATGGTGGCAACCGGGGATCACATTAGACCGTTGGAGTTTGGGTGTAACATAGCTTCTGTTCCTGGCACCGGTGAGCGTGGCGTGAGATCGGAGCTGCACAGTTCCACGCATGTCCATGCATGTCGCCAGCAGCACAGGGAAGGACGAGAGGGAAGGAATTGACGTGTTGCATTTGCACTTTGCCTCAGTATATGCGACTCGTGTCTGGGTTGCGTGCATGTCAGCCGATTGCTGATGTCTCTACCGTGCATGTGAACCAATGATTCGTCGACGAGAATGCGACGAGCAACTGAATCAACCAATTCGTTATTGTACTTCGTTGAACTTCGATCAGCACGTTGAACCGGCTGGATGTCATCGGATACTTCCATGCCGTTTCGTGCTTGTGCGTAAACGCGCTGAAAAGGACAAAACAAACAAGGCGCGATTGGCCGCAACTGGTGCGCAGCGAGATGCTTACATGGCCACTGATTGGCGTTTGTTGGCAGGCAGACAACCTAGCGCACCTGAGCATCCGATTCTTCTACTTCAAGCAGTGCACCAACTGTGCATTGACGGCCAAATACTCGGTGATGCTTGTATTGGGGACCACACTGTATCCACTTCAACAACTCAACGTCTTCGCGCTGCCTCCACCAGAATCCCACTCAAGCAACTCCCACCATATCCCAAGGCGCCCAAACACACCACAAAACCAAGTCGACCGTTCCCAGCTCCTGGAGCCCAACAAGTGTTCGTGCACCCCTGCGTCCCCGAATGAGGACGAGAGGCGCCAAAACGCACTTGGCACCAATCCAACTGCATCAGGGGGTCTGCAGAGGTAACCGACGCGCCAGAGTGGTTGGAGGACAACCTTTGTTCAATGGCTTAATCCCCTTTTCCAATTGCGATGTGGACGCGGTACTAAGGGTGTTCAAGGAGCCGGCGAGCTGGCATGTTGATGCCGCTCGACCTGACGATAAGTTGGCATTAACCGTAATAACATAGTGTAGTGTCACCCCTTTCAACACTCCAAACGCAGGGAACGCATGTGCAGATGGTGGTGCGTCGTTCATGCTCATTCTTAACACCCTCCCCTTCACATCGAAGCCTCTGTGTGGGTACCGTGGAGCCTGTCCAACTCTCAAAAGGATGCAAAAGCACAACAGCCGAACAGCCATCTACAGCTACTTTTGTACATCGACCTACATATTCACCCTGCCCCAGCACCAAATTGCTCGGCAACACATCTTCCGAGCAATTGTATCATCCCTCTACCAAAGGCAAAACCGCAACCAGTCGCAGACTTGCACTGTGCTGCATTCTGCAATGAAGACTAAACTATGTCAAGCAATTCAGCGTCCATTTGGTGGCGTTTCCACCTGTGGTATAGGCGGTGCACCACGAAGACCATCAGCACGGCTATGACGACCACCAGGCCGACAACCAAGGTGGTCTCCCTCTGCTGCTGGCGCTCAGGCTTGTAACTCTGTATCCGTGTCACGTCTGAGTTCAGCAGGTAGAACGCCGAGTAGAAAAATGCAAAGGCAGAGAATAGGAGGGCTGCAAAGTTGAAGTACATCCCACAGCTGGTGGTGGAGAATATTCTGTTCGACGTCCACCTGCGGCCAATGCGTCAGCTGTCAAAAAATTTTCAAGCTTCATGTTGACTAAATGACCACTTTCATGTGGCCAGTCCTTTCTGTGGCCCTATGTCGCCTTGCACTGCCCTGCAAGGCGGCATAATGCCAACAGCTCATCACCTGGACAGGGTTGGCATCCATTCTCCTGAGGGCGATGCACAAGGTAACAATGTTGGAGGAAACAGCACAAAAAAAAAGTGTCAATTGTCATAGCTGAAATCCTTAGTTTACAATTATCAGCAAAAGACAGAGGTGCCCTTGCACCTGATAGGGGATAATGGGCAAATTGTCATGCAACATCTGGTGTGTGCACAGGAACACAAGAAGTGGTCAGCAATAGAGGCTGGTACCTGGGTATCATGCCACGGAATTACTAGGATTTGGTATTACTTATATGGCTTGGAGAAGGGGGTTGGGCCCGGTGGGCTATGACTAGCACCACTGACATCATGCTGACAGGAGTCTGAGCAGCTGTGCATGCTGATTGTTTTAGTGAGGCAGTTAATAACAGGGTAGGCACACAGGTGCATCTAGTGCGACTACCATGAGTTCTTTTGTGCTCACTTCATTCCTTTGTCAGTGAAGTATCAGGCTGTTGTAAAGTTTGTCTGTGAGCATGTTGTGCCTACATTTGGTACACAGTGGTAATAGCTCAAGCCTATGTCAACTGGACCAAGTGAAACTGCCATGCCAATAGCAACTGTAATGTGCGCAAAACGTCCTCCAATCAGCAACACAGGGAAAATTTGCAGATAATGGATGTGTGGCTTGATATCAACTGTCGCAGCCGAAACCTTCTTACGATTCCCGTTGGTAGTCCATTGAGTTCCTATTTGCTATTCCATTCATGACACCCTCCACCGCTTGTGGCGTTCTTATCACACTAACAAACTCCTGCATCTCCATCACAGGGCAGAAAAGATTTTGCTGCCTAATCGTTGCTCGGGGGGAGGCTGCCGTATACATGACGTGCTTATTTTCAATGCTTTCAAGTAACAAGGAGAGTTGGGCCAATCAATTGAAGATGCTCAGCACAGACACACACAATGACCTGTGTTTCATTATTTGCACTGGTGTAGCGGACACAATCATTCCTCCATCCTCCTAGCAACGGCCCACGTACTTCCAAAGTAGCTTGACCCTGAACTTCTTGCCGCACACTCTACACACATCAGCCTCATCGCTGATGTGGTCCCTCTCGCTCTGCCGCCTGTCCGCGATGTGCTTCTCTAGGCAGGCGGGGTGGCACAACATGGAGTCATACTTCTTGTAGCAGTCGCCTGATTGAGCAAAGTCAGGGGGGGCTCAAGAAACTGGCCATCGAAACGCCGACGCCCAAGGCGGATGGTGGCAACATTCTAACCTGCAGTGAGGTGAGCAACAGAGGTTCCTGCCCTGTGGCCACCGCTGGCGTCAGCTACCAAATCTGGGAAGAGGGTTGCGGCCCGCCAGGAGCCTTGCAGCCTCGAAATTGCAAAGAGCGGCCACACCAGGGTGGCAACCAAGTAGAAGTTGTACGCGTTGTGATGACCATAGGCGCACAATGTGACATTCAACGCAAGTTCCCAACTCGCCGGCCCCGACGCAGGCCCAAACGCCATCAACGCGCAGCCAGATAACTGAACCAATACACTCGAGCAGGCGCAGCGGGACGAACCAATCCCTTCATCGCCTCGAAGGGCGCACAGCGCAGCGCCTTGGCCTTGCTTCGCCCACGCACACAAATGGAACGCCGGGATTGCCACGGCCGAAAGGCAGCCCACGCGACTAGCAGTCTCAGCAACACAGGTTCGCGTGCTGCCGGAAGGAAGGCGGCTCCGATCCCAATCGTTCACAGCGACAGACAACGCTACGCGTGCCGCCGCATCTCTCACAGGGGTCCACCAGCTTCCTGACGTCCTCCGTCCGGGAACAAAATCGGCAGGTCGACTTCACCATGCTGGCGGAGGGCGGGCCCCGGCGACGGGGCCGCCAGGACCGGCCGGCGGCAGTCCCGCGCCCTTCTTCGCGGGGCGCCGCGCAGCGGCGTGTGCCTCCTTGTCAGAGGAATCCAAGCTTATGATGGAGCGGGGTGCGCTGGATTGGACCGTGATGGGAAGTTATGCCGAGAATGCGTTTTCTTTTCCTTATTTTTGTCCCTCTCCCCGCTGGCTCCGCGCTCCCAGCCGTCCCTTTGCGCGTGCGAGTGGCGCCCACGAGCCCATCCGCCTGGAACGCGCCTCGCCGCTCTCAAGTCCCCCACATGAGGCACGGCGCGTCCCGGCTACGCAACCCCACCCCGCGCCGATCCATCCTTCCTTTCCAGTCTCCTGGACCACCATCGACTTCCCACCCTGCCAAGCCCCTCTGCACGCCCTCCCCGCTGCGCGGGGATCGCTGATCAAGTCGCATCACTTTGGGCCCAGTGTGCTGCTACCCGGCCGGCCATGTTGGGCGCACTCCGGCGGGAGGCCGTCCGCAGATTTTTGCGGAGGGCCCTGCATGGATCCGCGGCGCCCGTGGCAAAGGCGCTGGCCGCTCCAGCGGCCAAGGCCGGCGCGGCCGCGGTGGCCGCCCCCTCGGCCGCCTACGCCGCGTGGGTCCTCTCTTCGGACGACCCCGGCATGGCGATGCGGCTCTCGTACAACGTGCCGGCGCGCCTGGCGAGGGACTGCGCGGCGGTGGCGTCCATCGTCGCGGGTGAGGCCTAATCGACGCCCCCGGGACGGGAATTCTCAATCGAAGGGGTTGGGCGAGCGCCAGGGCTGGTCCCAGTCGTTTGGCTCAATCCCTCTCAGGTCTTCATTCATTTCAATCCTTTCCGCGACTTGGGGGCGAATTCTCTCTCAGAGCAATGCGAGGGGCGGATTTCTGCTTTCCGGTCGGCCTTGGCGCCGGTTGTTGACGAGCTTTGTTGCAGTCTGCGCGGGACTGGGACTCGCGGGCGCGCTGGGCTCTGATCGGTTGTTGTTGATTGTGTTGCGCTAGACTATCAGTGGAGCCTGAGGGGAGCAGACGGCGCCGATCGTGCCTGGATTATGCACGAGTGCCACGCCAGGTCGGCGCAGAAGCTGCTGGAGCTGTGCTTCGCGAACGGCGGCATATACATCAAGCTCGGGCAGCATGTTGGGCAGCTGGTGCGTGGCCCCCACTTATGCCTCTCGTCAGCTCACTCATGGGCTTGCCTGAACTTTTGCCACAGAGAAGCTTGTCGACGCCTTGCAGGTGCAAGGGGAGTCATCTAGTCGCATTTTGACAACATTTTGTTTCAGAACTGGCGACAGAAAAGGACATTTTGGTCTGCATAGTGGGCACGCCCCGTTTCAACCATGACATGATTCTTGCTCTTTCCTCCCTATGAAGATGGCACACATGTTCCCAAGGGCAACAGAAATTGACTGGCAACAAGTTGGACAGATAGAAAGAACTGTGTTCGTTGGTGGCCACTCGTCGCTTTAGATTCGCTGTTCAGATGGTTGCTAAGCCCTGAGGCCGTGTGTGTGCAATAGTCTGAGTTGGAAGAGCTGGCACATGTCATTTGCCCTCTTTCTTGTGTACAACAGGCAAAATCACATGCAAATCTCACATCCAGTGGTTTTAATCTTACGGTTGTCCCTGAGTGTCAGAATTTCAGTATGGTGTAAGTTAGGGAATGCAGGAGTATATGTGCCGTATTGGGTTGGATTTTGGATTTTGCGAATCGGTGCAAATTTCTGTGGGAAATGGAGACGAAAAGCATGCCGGGGGGAATGAGATCTAGGTTTGCAGTAGGTCATAGAATTCAGAGGGAAATGGAATGTCTGTACAGCTTTATTTATAGGCAGTTTGAACCTCCAACTCAGATCGCTTTGCTTATATCACATTCAAGCAAGCTGCTTCCTAGAGGGCAATGTTCAACAATGACAGCCAGAGCGGAAACTGAGGGACCACAAAGCCCTCTTCCATACTGATGGCGCCATTTGGAGGTTCGCTGCACATCCCTGAATTAAAGGGAGCAGTTCAACACCAAATTTGTTGCGCTTTTGTGCTCTGCCAGGATCACCTGCTTCCCACTGAGTACGTGAGGACAATGAGGGAGAACGTCTTGGATCGTTGCCCCAGCACCCCTTACGACGTAGTCTGCCAGACCCTGAGGGAAGAATTCGGAGCTGGTCCTGATGAGTTGTTTGCTGAGTTTGAACAATCGCCCGTCGCCAGTGCGTCACTCGCTCAGGTATATGGCATGGCAATACCACAACATGTTTGTTAGTGTGCCGTGGCTGAGGCTCCAGATTGGTTGTGCAGGACACACTGGTGCTGCCTGTTTGAACTACCATACTGTTGTAGGGCGAACATCAGCGCCCCAGTTGGAGAAGCAAATGTTGACTAATATCCCCACCCCCACCCCCTTCTTTGTGTTTGGTTCCAAATATCTTGCCAACTTGTAGCAGATTTAGTCTGTGCAGATTGTGTGCAACCAGATTTGCAAGGATGTATTTGGGGTGGAGTAGCCCTTCAGCTCATAACTGACAATAAGGTCTTGGGCACTTCCAAAGGCCAAAGGGGTGTACAGTGTACACTGTACACTGTTGGATCTGAGTTGGTTTGTTCTATTCTGTATGGAAAATGATCGCAATACTTCAATGGTTGACCAGGGAACTGTGACAACTATATGGCTGAAATGGCCATCAGAATGATCAACTATCCTGAAACGAAGTGTGCACCACAGGTTTTGGTATAAAGCAGTATTATGTTGTCAGCGAGATCCACAGCTGTTGGGTGTGCCAGGCTCAGCAATTGCCAGGATGAAATGAAAGCTCAACTAATAGTTGTGACAGTCACATGACCTCCACCCACTCTGTCTGCGACTATTGCACTAGCAATGAGCTTTAGCTCACCAAGTGCTGAGCATCTGGTGCCAATGATGCTTTGGTGTTCCTGTAGCCTGCTTTGTATGCAAGAAGAGTGGAACACAAAATCAGAGAGCACAGCGAATGTGTGTCCCATAATTCACCAAAAATGTCCACATTTGGTGTGATGACAGGGAGGCGCACCCTGCCTGTGTAATTTTCATCTTCCAAGAACTTCAAGCCCTTGTGGCATTCCGCATTTCAATGGAGGCTGTGTGGTGACGCATCGTATCAAATCACTGCACAGGTTCACAGGGCATACACCCATGATGGTCAGAAATTGGCAGTAAAGATTCAACATCCTGGGCTGAGGGAACATTCAGCTGCCGATGTTGCCATGGTGGAGTTCCTTGTCCATGCTGTAAAATGGATGTTTCCGGTGAGTGCTTACGCACATAAGCGATATTTCTATGTGCTGCTAGAGGGAGTTTATGGTATTGCTTATGGATAGTGGATGTACCACTTCGAGGGGCATCTGCACTTTGCACAGTGGTGACAGGAATCTGTGATGCAATGGAAGACTTGCCATTGCTCCTACATTGCCTCCTTTCTGAAATGTTCTGTTGTGCTTGGTGTAGCTCCTAGTCTGAGCTCTCCCATACATGTCTGCAGGGACGAGGGACAAATATTGCCGCTGTCCTCTGCACTAGATACCTGTATGTGAATAGTGCTCAACACCATGTACCGAAATCTGGAGTGGGCTCTTTTGGTTGTGGGCGCTCTTGCACTTTTGCTTGCATTGATGCATGAAGCCAGTTGGATGGAATGAACTGCCAGTGCACGTGTACTCTCGTAAAAATCCAAAAGGTTGAGCTTGTCACATGCTCAACCCATAAATGCGTTGGGCAGTGCACAACACTGCACTCCCGTGTCTCAGCAATCGAATTCTATCTTGGGTCACATGCATCAGAGAAATTATGGAGGAAGTGTTCTGGGCTGTGGAAAGTTATGGGGCAGCAATGTGCATTGCACATGGGCAATGGTTCTGACAAGGCAAAAGATGGGTTTAACAATTAGCTCCTCAAAAGTATGTGAAGGAGTGAATGAATGTCCTTGCAATGATGCAAGACTTATGATATTGGTCATGTCTTGCTGCACGGACAAGAATCTACAAGTTGTGTTGGCTTGGGTGGAGTTCTTAGAAGTTTGACCCCACTTCAGAGGTACAGCGCATTGCACAGTGTGCAACAGCAGTAATCCCCGTTGGCCTGGTTTCAGTGCTGGATTGGAAATTTCCTTCAAGCCAGCAGTGTGATTCATTGTGCTGTTTTGTCAGATTTTCGTTGCTCTTTGAGCAGGGCTTCAACTACCAGTGGCTCGTTGACGAAATCAAGATAAACTTGCCAAAGGAGCTGGACTTTGTGCTTGAAGCAGCCAATGCAGAAAAATGCAAAAGGAATCTGGAGTCTCCCAGGTCGCGAGTAAGGGGAAGGTACAGGACATGGAGGGAATTGGACAGAGAAGATTGTGGAGAATCATGGTTGCACAGCCCATATGGCTTTGTTGCATTGCTAGAATCGCACGAGTACATTGGTACCGTCTTCAACATTCAACTCCCACTGCAAGTGCCCAAAGTCAAGTGGGTTGTGTGCTCAGTCTTCTTGTAGCCATCGTTTAGTTGTTTACAAGTGCACATGACGTTGCCCCCAGTAGAGCCAGCGTAAGATTCACAGCCAAGGAAACATCTTGGGAATAGCCTGGCATGTTTGAGGTCAGAGCGGACAACAAAGGCGGTGCCCATTGTTGCCGCCACCCTGTGTTTTCTGTTCCAATTCTGAATGGAAACAACACAAAATGACATGTGAGGCTGGTGGACCCGTAGCTGCAGGACAACAAAGCGTATCAATATGGCAGACCGTGTCTGCTTGCCACAGGTCTGGTGAAATTCCCCAATTTCCCCTGAACACAGTTTGCTGTCGTCATGGCAGGGTGAAGGTTCCTGAGGTCATCCACAACCTGACGTCCAAGCGAGTGTTGACCATGGAGTTCATCGACGGCATTAGCGTGACAGACTGCGAAGGTCTTGACGCTCTTGGAGTGGACACGGGCAAAGTCGCGGAACTCGTCTCACAAACCTTCAGCGAAATGATTTTCGTCTTTGGGGAGGTGCATTGCGATCCCCACGAGGCCAATCTGCTTGTCAGGAAACAGGTGTGGTGTCATATCGATGTGGCAAGGCCAGTTGTAGGCCTCGATGTAGAGGCAAGCGGTAGTGCGCGCGTACGGGCGTACACGGGGGCAAACAATGGACATGTGTTCTTGGGGCTTGGGTGGTGACATAGCCCATGTTGGCTGACACGCTGTTAGCGGAAACATACTTCCTCCGTCCCAGATTAATTGTCGTCTGTTTGAAAGGCTAAATTTGTTGCAAGGACACCCTCAGCATTTCAAAACAAGGTCAAAATCGAAAAGATTGCATCTCAAAACCCTTGACTATCAGTTTTCAAGAAGGAAAAGTGAGACATGACCCTTTTGAGCGCAAGGAGAAGATAAATTTTGGTCATTTTCGACCCCCAATATTGAGATTTACTATGTAAAAAGACCCTTAATACAAAGTACTGCCAAATACTCAATATTTAATGGATTGACTTGAAATTTTTATGGTGTACTCCCAACTCAAAAGGACAACTGAAGGCGAAATTTCATTAAAACAGGTGCGAGCATGATGGAGAAACAATGCCCCCAAATCATAGACGACAATTAATCTGGGACGGAGGAAGTACATGCATACATACAAGGCTAGTTGTCTTTCGATTGTGTAGACAGCATGTCCGCTCAAAGTATAAAGGACTCCTTTGTCTAATGTCTGGTTGCATTCCTGAGAAAGTTATTGACGGAGAATAGTGTCTTGATATATTCAAGGGAATGTTGCATTGCAACACAGTGATGGCTGCCTGCTTGCCTTGATACGTAACATTTCTTGATTGTGACTGCATCATGCACTGTCACAGTTAATTAGATTGAAGCAACCACTACAGGTGCTCTTGCTGTTGCTGTGTGACATTTTCATGCCCACACCACAGAATTCCAGCAACAGAGATGACGTTTTCCATGCGTTGCTCTCTACATTGATTCATGACACTCGTAGTTTTCGAATGGATAGTATGATAAATACCTCGTTATTGCCATCTTCACAGGAAGGTGAGATGCAGCTTGTGCTGCTGGACCATGGCCTGTACCAACAAATCGATCAGGGCTTCCGCTGGCACTACGCTGGCCTCTGGCATGCCCTCATCTTTGCTGACGAGGACGGCATCAAGCACTACAGCGCCACCATGAACGCCGGCGACATGTACCCCATCTTCGCCTCCATGCTGACGCTCAAGCCCTGGAATCAGATCCGAGAGGCCACTGTGGATCACCTGGACGCGCCACAGTCTCCACAGGACCGCGCTCGCATCGCGGAGTTCGCCCACCGCCACGTGCGACAGATATCTGACCTGCTGCTGCAGATGCCACGGGAGCTGCTGCTGCTTCTGAAGACTAATGACTGCCTGAGGGCGGTGGACCGCAGTCTGGGGAAGGTGGGTGCTGCTCTTCGTTTGAAACACTGTCTATGCGTGCAACATTCTGTTCTTGGCAGCATTTCCACATGTCTTTTCACCGCTTTCTGAGGCGTTTGCACAACACGTTTTGGAGTTGCTTTTTCTTGCTGGCAAGCTCGAGTAGCATTTTGCAGCTTTCCAACGCGATTGTTCATGCCGTGTTTTGGCATTAAATGAGCGTCTCTCTGGATGAGCTGATGGCTGGCGATTTCCCTCCAGCTGCTGGTTAGTGCATTGGACCGGCACTGCAACACGATGCAACTGGAAGGGGCTCTCGTACTATTCCTGCCCCGTTTGGCAAGGGAACAGTAATGGCCGTTCTTGTGTTGTGCATGGCTCCTCCCTGCCCAACCCCAACGTGTTGCCTTGATTCGAACCCAGTTCAAAGCCTGACCCTGATTTGCGGTGCCACTGCTCGCTGTGGCCCGCTCCATGTGTCTGCACGTGCCTCACACTCTTGTGTTCGCCCGTTGCCCTGCAGCCCATCAACACGCTGGTAATCACTGCGCGTGAGTGCGTCCGGGCACTGGCCGAGCAGCGCAGCAGGCACCTGCCACCGCTGCTGGCGAAGTTCTACACCCTCGGAGACCACATGCACATGGAGCTGCGCCTCGCCATGCTCAGGGCCGCCACCATGTGGATGAGGCTCCTCCAGTGCGTGACGTGGAGGAGCACGGCGTGTAGCATCTGACACCAGGACGACGGGCTGGGCAGCACCTATTTGATTCCGCTGGCCAAAGGGTTCAACCGCGTTGATGAGCTGCAGAACAGCCGGTGCCGCTTCCTGCGGCACGGCATGCTTGAGTTCCGCAGGGCTTCGCTTCGAGCATTGCTGCACAAGGCATCAACGAGGGCATGCTTAGACTCCATGAATCTTGATTGTTTATTGCTGCACCATTGGCTACGTTCGGGGACTTCCCAATTGCTTTGCTAGAAAGGGGGGGCGGGCCAGGCCCGGTCCATTCTGTAACACTTTCATGGGGGGTCTCCATTGTACACCTTTCAAAATTCTTACCGTTTTGGAGACGATTACCGTGTTTTGCTTGGATGCAAGATTTCGAATGCACAAAAAGCTGACCATCCATATTGGGACTAGTCTTGCGGCCTCCAAATTGGCAGATTAGGCGAGGCAATGTTTCTGCCTTTCCAGTCTCGTTGCCCCACTGACATGTAATCCACATAACAAAAAATGTGCCGATCAAACAGTGCCCACAATTGTTCAACATCAACGTCAGGTACGCAGAATTACATATGCCCTGTCGCTTCGCAAATACTCGCACTTCACTGGTGCGTGGCTCAGCCCCGATTCAGCCTCTGAATGCCGTTCCTCTGTCTAACTGGTTTGGCACCAATCCCACCCACTTGGAGCGCGAAGTTCAGTCAAATGTGGGGTGTGGACCCAACACCAGGGGTCACGCCTACATGGCCGCCCCGGCGCCACGCCCGCCAAGCAGCCACTCGCCCTGCCCTGAGTCGATTCTAATACCAGAATTTCGCAAGGCCCACAGTGGCATTTTCTTATTTTTTTTTAAGAGCTCGGCGAGCGTTTCAGCAGTAACTGATCGCAATTCTGCTTTCTCAGCACATGCTCGAGTTTGGCTGTGAGTTGAGGGTGCTTGCACAGCGCATGACACACCCGTATATCTCTCCTGTCGAGAGGCTCCGTGGAGTGCCGTTATCGTATTTCAACGACCGTCTGATCTGTGACCTCGTGTCACCCGGCTAGTCGCCGTATGCATGTGCCAGTCAGACACCATTCCTTCAGATTAAGCAACAAAGGCAATCGCAACATGGACATAAGCGGGCACGCATTCGCCTGGGGCCATCCCTGGGCTGGGGTTTGAGCAGCCTGCAAGCCCGCACAACGTCATTCACTTGTTATTACATCGTGTCTGGTTCACCCCAAAATGCAATGCAGGGCGCCTGCCAGGAAGCAAGCCCTTGGACACCGCGGTCTGCTACTGCAGCGGCGCCTGGTTGCCCTCCTCCAGCGACAGCCCGCCCTTCGCTCCTGAATTCCTGAGTCCTGCGTGCGCCTGAGGGCGGCCGGCGCCCTCTTGACTTGCGGGGCGCCCTCCCGGCGCTCAACGCAACATCACACAAGCTTTACACGCCACGAGTGGATCAAGCTTGAGGCAGTGTGTCCGTTGAACCAACCTCGCGCCGTCAGGTCACACGTTCCGGTCCTACGCTAGATAGAGATTGCAGATACCAGTACAAATCGCTGCGGCCTGGACACTCCTGGGATGTGTGCGCGTGCAACAAAGAGAGAATGAGAAAGAATCCCCTTCCGTACCTGGCGGATGCGATTGCAAACCACCTACAGAGCGAACCGAAGCAACTCGCAGGTCGGCCAACAAAATACGGCCAACCCCACGCTACTGATGAACAAGCGCCTCTGTGCCTCCTCCTCAGTGGAACATTTCGATTATGTTCTGGCAGTTTCGTGATTCCCGTCTGTTCAGTTGAAGTCTCAAATCTCAAGGCGTTGGAATCGGCACCACAACTGAGATATTCCCCTAACCCCCAAACAGCTGTTCATGTTTTCTGTGTATGTTCTGACACCCTCATACTCCACCACCAGGGGCCAAGTGGCCACTCAGTCTGGCGCAGGAGCCGCGGGTGCCAATTTCTGCTGAATCTGCATGGTGCACCCCCCATTCCTGACTTCCTGCCACAACGTCCTCCTATGGTACAAAAAAGACACAAGCAAACAAGGGGAGAGACAACACACACCCCACTCGCACGCAGCACACGCTCGCGCTGTCGGTCGCGGCGACGAAGCTTTTATTGCGCCAAATGAGGAGCCAGGGACCTGGCAAAATCCCAACGGGGCATTATCATCCCAATGCCGCCATCTCGCCCTCCTCAAGCACCATTGCGACGAGAGGAGCGCTCTGGCTCTCTCGTGCCGCCCGGGACATCCCCCCCCTCCCCATCCGGGCGTCTCCGTTCTCGGTCCTAAAAAGCCAAACACAAACACCCGGCTTCCGACGCCAGGACAACTGCGGCTGCCGGTCCTCGACCCAACTCGGTCCCCTCGGCCGCGGGGCCCCCATCCCCTCGCCCTGCAGCCCCATGCAACTGAAAGAATGTTCAGATTGTTCAGCAGCCCGGTCCCTGGGCGAAGGCGGCGGGCCCCCGGGGCCGCAGCACCCGCGCAAGGTCGAACTCGCGCCTGGGGCCCTCCACGGGTCGCTGGCCGCGCACGCCCGCGCCCTGCAGCACCAGTCTGCCCCCCCCCCTCTGCCCCATCCTCTCCCCCCCGCCCGCCCGGCAGCACCGCGTGTTGGCCACCGCCGCCGCTACGTCCATCGCCGCCAGCAGCGTGTGCAGCGACTTGCTGGTCTCCCGCGCGTCCCACGTGCGCCTCAGGTGCGCGATCGTCTCCGGGGAGTCCGGCAGGCGCTCGCCTTCCCTGCCCATGCCCGCAGATCCCCGTTCAGCCGTCCCCGCATCTCCCCCATTGGGTTCAACCGCCAGCGTCCGCCTGATGTTCTTCTCCGCGCGCTTGACCTCCGAGGTCCACTTGGACGCCCCGGCGTTCACACGGGAAGCCTGCCCCCCGCTGGGGCACGATGATCCCGAGCCGCTGCCCGTCGCCACGGCGTGTATCTGTATCTGGCAGTTGGGATGCTTGTTCGTGCGCCGGGTCATGTAGAGCGTGGAGTTCTCGAAGGGGGGCGCGGGGCTGGGCCAGGACTGCTTGCGGTCGTGCCGCACCAGCAGCTTCACGGTCTTGGCCGGCAGCGCCTGCTTGCGGTTGGCGCCGTACAGGGGGTCGAAGTGCGCCCCATGCTGGGCGCTGGCGCCAGGCAGCCCGGCCGCCAGGTCCACCGTCTGGGTTCCCACCCTGGCCATCTGCCGTCCTCCCCCCCTGCGCGATCCCAGCTCCATGGACGCGGCCCTGGGCTCTCGATCGCGACCGCCCTCACGGGCCAACTCGTGGCTGTGCGGGCGCGCCGCCTTGGCCGACTGGCTGCCCCGGCTGATGCCGACGCCCAGCTCGAACGTGATGCGGCTCGCGCGCGTGGTCTTGATCGGCTTGGGTAGCAGCAGCAGGGCCTGGGACGCGCTGGGCTCATCGTCCGGGCTGGGAGAGGGCGCCTTCGGCGGCGCGTCCACGGCCGGTGGCGTGCCCGGAGTGGGCGCCAGGGGTGAGCCGTCGACCTCGGTCTGGATCAGGCACGCGTCCGCATCCTCGAACGACGGCTGGCGCACGGGCCAGTCCTCCGGGGTGAGCTTCTTGGGCAGCACCTGCGCGCGGGAGGATACGGAGCAGAACGAGCCCGACGCGGGGCCCGCGTCGCGGGGCACGGCGCCGTCCAGCACGCCCACGTCGTCCAGATCGTCGGCGCCCTCCGCCGCGTCGCAGTCGTCGATCCAGGGGTAGCGAGCGCGCTGCTCTAGGTCCACGCGTGTGCACAGGTGGAAGGACGGCAGCTTGAAGCAGCCTAAGGTGGAGGGCCGCTCGGCCCTGGCGCCGGCCTCCAGCGCGTCCGTCGTCCTCATGAACGCCACGCTCAGCGCCGCCTCAGCCAGATCGCATCAGACTCCTGCGGCCAGGAGCGCACAAACACAGATCGCGGTGAGGCCCAGCGTGCGCACGCCCGATTGACAAGATACCCCCGGGACGCCGTGCCTGCCCTGCAGCAGGCCGGGTGCGGCCGCAAGGCGGGCGGGGCGAGCGTGTGGCGCCGTCGGCCCCAAGGGGATTCGCCCGCCTTGCGGCCGACGGCGCCACACGCCCGGCCACCACCCACGCTCGCCACCGGCGCGGGCAGCGTCCCCTGGAACGCACCGATGATGCTCCCAACCCGCTGCGCCGCCTCCGATCCCCCACGCAATCACCGCGCGAACGTACTACACGCCGTCCGTACCGATGTCCGCCGGCCCCCGGCGACTGGCACCCCCCGCCGGCGCCACAACGCCTCGCCGCCTCTCGCGACGGCCCCCTGCGCCCCTAGCGCGCTCGCGCGGCCGCAAGCCCACCGCAGGCGGCTCCGTCCCTCGGGCACGCTCCGGCCGATTCACGGTACATGAAGCCGCGCCGCCTTCCCGCCCACTTCCCGCTCCGGCCCAGCGCCCCCTCCCCGTGCAGCGCCCGCTGAGCCCGCCGCATCACAGTACACCCAGGTTGACCCAGATATTCCCAGGTCTTCCGACAGCCTTGCGGTACACGGGGCGATGTGTGTAGTGTTGTACTGGGGGGCGCGTCTCCGCCGCACGGGGCCCCGTCCCGTCTTGCTGGGAGCCCGCAGAGCCAGCGGCATTACCGCTTATTGCCGCGGATCAAGCCAGCCAGAGGCTGCCCGCACGGGTCGCGCCTTTCGCAAGCCCGGAAGGCCAGTCGGGTGGGGTGGGCCAGGGGGGCGAGGAATGAGGGGGCGGGGCGCGATGCGCGGACTGGGAGGTGCGAGTGGGCGGGGCGTGATTGGGAAGGGGTTGTGCGCCGCGGAGGGCCGCAGGGCGGATACACGTCGGCACATCGTATCGAGTCCGGCCAATCGGCGAACAGGCCAGTGGCGAAGGGGGGGCGCCGAGAGGCACGCACGCTGCTTCAAAATCGACGCCTGGGGGCGGCTCCAAAGGGGGTTGGGAGGTGCGCGTCAGCGCCGCCGACGCGGCATGTCCGCATGTCGACTCCGCTAAAGGCGAAAACCCCCCTCCCTCCGGTCCACGCGCGTGGAA